TTTCAGCTAGAGCTACTAAAAATGATAAATACTTTCTCGGATCTCTAGGTAGTAGAAGAAAAATGTTAGAAACTAGTTTTCTAATTTTGTCTAAGTCCTACTACATATAATGAAATGACTTAAAGTTGATGCGTCTGTCTTATGAATTGGAGAATTAACCATTTCTACCATTTGTCAATCTCAAGCATCAGTGGTAAGCAGAACACAAAAAAGAAGAAAAGGAAAAAAAAAGAAAGAAAGGGAAAAAGAAAAGGAAAAGAATTTAAAATTGAAATATTAAATCAGTGATAACATGTTGAGAGGCAAGTAATGCAGGAATATTCGAATCCCATGGGATATGTAACAACACCCCCACCATAATAATAAAATAAACATATAAAATATTAATTATAGATGATATATACATTATAGCATATATATGTCGTATTATATCTGATAGATGTCACCTTATTTTGTATCTCTTTCTCCATTTCCTCTGCAGAGAAGCATCACACTACAAATGAGCAGAAAGCATCCCCAATTATCTCAGGTGTCACAGTTTGCACACCATCATTCTGTGTGTGACCTGAGAGGTTATTTGATATACAGAATTTCATATCAAATCCATGTCCATTGAACAAGAATCTAGACTTTAAGAATGGTCCTGGCTGATTCCAACATGGGCTAAAATTACAGAAGTACAGTATACAGTGCTTAATGGCTTGCATAAAATGATTACCCAGAGGTTATTTTCTTGTCCTCTTAACAAAGCCAATAATGTTTACTGAACATTTATCCTATGACAAATACAATGTTCGGCCTTTAAATGGCTTTTCTTTAATCTTCACAACTCAGAGAGATAGCCATCACTTCACCCTCATTTTGTAGGTTGAAATCTGAGTAGTGAGAGAAATATCTGACCCAAATACAGCCACTGATTATGTCAAGATTTAAACACAGAAATTCTGATCTCAAGGCCCGTGCTCTTAGCTGCTAATCACAGCATTTACTCTATACTCGGTTGCCTATTTTTTAAATACAAACTAATTATTTGAGAATTTATTTAAAGTTGTTGTTTGAAATCAAGACCTCTTATCTCATGGAAAAAAACATGTGATCTATTCCACCTTAGTCATGCATTTGCCATTGAGTATAATAATGAAGAATTCTAGAAATTCTCGTTTTAGTTGGTAATTAATATTAACGGAATGACAGTACATCCAAACTCATCAAAATGAATGCCCTTCCTATGTGTGTAGAGTTTTGTATATCATCTGTACATCGACCAAGTTATATGAAAATAATTGTAGATGGCATAGTGATGTGGGCCCACAGTTTCAACTACTCAAGAATTTGAAACAGTAGACTCATTTGAGTCTAAGAGTTCTAAGCTAGCTTAAGCAACATAATAAAGCAGTCTCCAAAAAAGAAAAAAGAACAGATTATGTACCTTTAGAGTTAATTTTTTATATTTCTATTTTTCACCCTTTCCCTAAACTTGACCATTTACCTTTTGTATTCTAATGTTATAAAGTCATCTCTTAAGTAAATCACTTAATATTTTCATCATTAATGCATGCTACTTTTGAAGATTTTAATGTAAATGCTTATATACCACAAGCATGATCTGAAAACTGCAGTCAGATACAGATACTAAGTAGTCAGTAACCAGAAAAGTGGTTATATAAGTATATTTTAAGCCAGTGACTCCTCAGATAATTTAGTCCCTGAAGGATTTCTCCCAGTGCACACGGATTCTCTGACAGCTGTCAGATGAGTCTGGCCAGAGGTCTCTTATTTTGACACTAGCTTGTTTGTGTTGCTGGAAAGGCTGAGCAGAATCCAGGTTCCCAGGGACCGTATTTAAGGGGAAAGGTGTGCGGCGGGACAGAGCTCCGTGACATAATGAAGGCACATCCGTGGGAGAAAAAACTTCACCAACCACTTGGTTGCAGACCTCAAGATACCCGGGCAGCACCAATAGTACAATGTCCAACTTGTAAATTAAAGATTAGGGAAAAGTCAACCCATGGTTGCTGTCATGCCATGCAGCAGAGGGTGGAGAAGGGATGTAAAATAGTAGTACCTAGCAGACACCTTGCACCTAGCAGGCAGAGTCTATTAGTGCTGGAAAGTGATAAAATGTCAGTGACCATCCTCCGTGGCTTTGGAGTTCCATCAATTCTGCTAAGCCTGAAGACTTGTGGCCTTGTGACTGGCAGGACACAATCTATATCAGGTTTTCTTTTCTTAAACAGATTAAAAAATCTTACAGCTTTTCTTTTTGTACTAGGACTTGAACTCACAACCTTAGACTTGCCTGCAGGGGCTGTGCTGCTGAACTCTATCCCCAGCTCCAGAATTTCCTCTAATAAAATTCATGCATTTACAATTTTATAATCATAATTTTATTTACTTGTTGACCCACATGATCCTTGTTATCTAATTCAAATACATTTTTGCATGCTTCTAAATCTGCATAGCATGGCTCTAGAAAAAAAGGAATGTTCCATTAATTCAGATTTAATAACCTAACTCTTCCATTCAAATGATATCACTTCTCATAAAATACATTGAATTATATGACTTCTTCCAGCCTTTGACCTTCACATAGGTCTTTGATGCTACTTTATCAGGAATGGAAAAGAATTTGATGTGATTTTTACATAACAAATTCTTGAATGTATCCTGGCCTCTGATCTACTGAGAAGACTGCCAGTAAGAATAAACGAACATGAAGAGTTACATATTCATTATCTATTTTATATAAATATATGACATATTTAATCTTGAAAGTTTTGGAAGGTTATTAGGTTTAATTTTTTCTTTATTTATTTTGTTTCTACTTTCCAAATTCCTTGTAACAAATCTCTATTACATTTTTATTTCTCACTTTCTTTTTGTCTTGGGATTTCTATTACTTTTCTCATAACTCAGTCTGGATTTCAAGTCTTAGACAACCCCTATTAATTCTCTGGATGAAACAGTATACATCTTATCCTTTCAACATTTTTTTCTGAAAGTTTGTTAGAACTTTATTAAAAAAGTAAATAACTTTCATACTGTCTTGGTACTTTATAGAAGAAATCATATTATGATAAAAATGTTTTACCAGTGTATTTTATAATACAAAATCCTTCTAAATTACAATACTTCTAGAGTTGATGTGTGTATTTTTATAGTAACCTATATACAATCATCAACTTTAAAAAATCTTCCAAATACTGAAAAATGTTGGTGACTTTGGCTACATAAAAATAAATCAATGATGATATAACAAAAAGATACCATAAGCAAACACCAAAAATGAATAAAAAACAAGAAAGATTATTGCCATGCAGTACATGTAAAATGGAAGTTTCTATAATATAACCTTAGTGTTTAACATGAGAAGCTATGAATAATCCAGTTTAAAAAAGAGCAAAGATCTGTGCAAACCAATAGAAAAATGATTGAAAATAAGAAAAAAGTCAAGGGCCGGTGGAATAGCTAAGCGTATGAGCCAGGGTTCGACCCCTGTCTCGGCGGCCCCGCTCCTGGGTTCTCTGAGCTGGCGATGGAGTCCAGGCGTGGTGGCTCACGCCTGGATAATCTCAGCACTAGGGAGGCAGAAATCAGGAGGATCATTATGAGTCTGAGCTACATAGTGAGACCCTGTACAAAAAAAAGTCAATCACCTTCACAATTAAAGAACTTCAAACAAAACATCAAATTAAGGAAGGATGATTTGATGAAATCCAGATTTTTAGTATCAGGTTTTCAGTTTCCTTTATCGAAGTCATTTTGTGAATATCTATCACAAATTTAGCATATATAAACAATTTGGCTCAACAATTCTATCTGGAATGTACCTTGCTGACATATTCATATAAGTACAAAAATGGGGGACATGCAGGATAGCTCAGTTGTTTAAGCACCTGCTCATGCAAATACAGTCAGATGCAGGATACCGCAGTTCGGATGCCCACCTCCACCTGCATTCCCAGACCTGCCCTTAAGGCAGCCTGAGCCAGCCAAAAAAGAAATATTCTCAACTTTTGAGGGCTGGGAAGATAACTCAGTAGAATAAGCGCTTGCCTGGCAAGCACAAGGTCCTGAGTTCAATCCCCAGGACCGCAAAAAAATAAATAAATAAATAAATAAATAAATAAAAATGTTTATGTGTAAATGTGCAACTTATTTCTGTTTGTGTTTCCTTTCAGACAAAATGGAACTTGGCAAAAAAAATCAAACATTAATAATGTACTTGTTAAGTAAATCAATGCACTGAATGGAGTATTGTATGGTCATCAACTCAATAAGATAGATTTATATGCACTGATATAGGAAGTTGCCATAGTATTAAGTAAAATACATTAAATACAGAAAAAAATTAAATAATGTAACATAAAAAATGAACATGAGTATATGTATGTGTATACATTTTTTTCAAGTTTTAAAGGGATAGACTAGAAACTATGTACTGGTAAGTATCTTGGTTAGTGAATCCAGAGACAGATGTGACAAGGAAGTATATGCTTTCATTTTATATTCCTCTGTAACTAAAACTTTAAATTATATGCAAGTATTATTTCCATGAAAAAAAAATAAAAGATCTCTATAATGATATTTTTAAGTTATGGTCCAATAACACTTGTATAAACTTTATTCTAAAAGATTATTTATAAAAGTTTAACTTAACTGTAAAAGTAAAGGTGGAATCCTTTATCATTTATTGTAAACATCGCTACAAAAAGCATCATAGAATAAAATAACATTATTTTACCCCCAAAAATTATCTTTCTCTTTCTGTAGCATTTGTCAAGAAGGGACTGAGGAGACCACGAGCGAGAAAGGGCTACAATACCGTGGCGGCCGCATAGTCCATCCTCATTCTAGAGAAGGGAAATAGGCTCGATGTGGAACAGATGGCTTCACTGCCTTCCAAAACACTCTAAATATGCAATGTTCATGCCCACTGTGTAAGTTAAAATATCTGACCTTGTGAACCACTTTAATTTCTCTTTTTCTTTTCAGATTTGGTATGCGATAGATTGGTCTTAAATGGCTGGGTTTTTATTTCAATGAGTTCTTGAAGCCATCCCTGAAGCCATCCCAGCAAGTGGCCATCGGTAAGTGTCTTACATCTCCAGCACTGAGTCTGTCAGTCGTTTTCCCTAAATAAGTCACCAGTGGAGGTAGAATGATAAGCCATACATGTCTTTGTTCTATGAAAGAGATAGAGGGGGGAAAAGAAGGGATTCCAGTCTCACCCTATTCCCTCTAATACATGGAGTAAAAATGTACATTTTTATGGTGTTAAATGTAAACAATGTAAGAACTGCCAAACTATAGTGTGTAGTGGACATAAGCCAATAGACAGATCTACAGCCTCTTTAAGAGACCTTTTGTGGCCACAGGAGATTGCTAGAGCAATACTCCTTCTGCTGGTAGGACTAGAAGGAAATTGTTGTGCTCTCTCCCCTGACAGCTGGGGATGGGGGTATCTGTGTTTTGCAATTCCCACTTCTTCCACAATTCTCAAGACTGTAAACCTAAAACACTGATATATCTCAGAGCTTCATCCCTACAAATGTCTCCCTTGCTCCAATAATAAGATATGGGGAAAGAGCATATGAAATTGGAGGCAAAGGCCCTCTGGCCCCATGATAGGCATTAGTGACAGAGGGCCACATGGTGGGACACTAAGGTTTCAGAACCTGAGGCAGCACAGTAGGATTGGCTGTCACTTCTTTGTCTGACCACCCCTGACTCATCAGCCTATCTGATACTTTTCAATAAAAGAAATCCTTGATTTACCCAACTAGAAGGGGGAAAAAAGATGCAGCACAAAGGATAAACCCCAAGCCTCAGCTTCCCAGAGGAAATGGAAAAAGTAGCTTAGGCCATTCTGAAGATGCTGTAGCTCTGTTATATCATGGTAGAGGGTAGGCAGGCGCTGGATGAGGTGAAAGACCAACGTGACTCCGTTCTTCGTTAGGCTGGTGAGTATGAAACACCTTTTACAAGGCACTCTGTAGTAGTGGTGTTAGGACACTATTTAGAAATGCTTTAATCTTAAGGATAAAAATAGTAACTTTCTACAGTGTTTTGTCATTGGATATCTTTAGGGTTTGGTGTGGGTTGATTTGAAGTGTGTGTATGTGTGTGTGTGTGTGTGTGTGTGCGCACATGTGCTGGATTTTCTGTGTGTTATTTTTATTATTTATTTTGTTTATTTTTAAAATATGCATAAACTTTGGAGTCCAAACTTGCCTGTTTTTAGCAACAATTCAATTATAGGAACAGCACAGTAAAGCTCATAAAGTATCACAGATAAGGAGCCAGAAAGAAAGACACATCAAGAGAACCGACCAAGAACTGTTTCTGCATAATACTGCACCAGCCCTACAGTGACACAAGCAACATTTATTTCCAGGGCATCTGTACTGGAAGAGAAGCGTGGGCTTCTTCTCCCTTTTCATATTTTTGAAACCTTCATTTCCTAACATTCACACATGTATGACAAAACTTACAAAATACCTATAATGTTCTGCTTAAGAATTAAAGAACACTTACTCTCAGTTTCTCATACCAAGGGGACATTGTAATGGTTACACGTGTGAGTCTTATATATTTCATTTAAGAGTATGGTCTCACATTGCATCTATTTGCATAGAAATGTCTTAAATTTATCCTTCTTTATGGCAGCGTAGTATTCCAGTGTATAAAAAAACACATCTTCTTTATGCATTCCTTAATTGATGGGTATTTGGGTTGTTTCCAAGAATTAGCTATTACGAACAGTGATGCTAAACATGGATGCACATATATTGCAATGGTATGATGTTTATTGCTCAAAAAGAAAGAGTAGGGTGAGGGAAGGGGGAGAAAAAGGAAAAATGAAAAAAATATTGAAACATGACAGAATGGAAACAAAGCTTTGTAAATAGGGAGAGCAAAAAGTGTTGAAGGGAGGAGAAGGGATTGGGAAAATAAGAATAATCAAAATATCATATATATATATATATATGTGTACAAATTCTTTACACAGTGAATATAATCATTATGTACATCTGAAATGTACAATAAACTTAATTTAAAAATACAATAAATACAATAACAAAACACTGAAGAAAACACACTTTAAAGCCTTAAACATTTTCCTTTTTTACTTTACAGAAAAAAAGATAAAACAAAATTTCATAACACAATAATAGAAGAATAGCAACAGTTAATCCATTATATATTATCTTTAAAGTAGTTGCTCAGGGGCCGGGGAGATGGCTCAGTGGAATAAGTGCTTCCCTGGCAAGCGCAAGGACCTGTGTTCAATCCCCGGTTCCACCAAAAAAAAATAATAATAATAAAGTAGTTGCTCAGGGTACAGCGTATGGGCATAAAAATTTCTCCAACTGATGTTATCATAAACTTATCCTTTTAAAGATCTAAGAGATACAAGTAGTATAACTGACTTACACTTTTCCCTTTTTCCTACTATTCTTTCCCTTTCACCTTTCCTAGCTTCTTTTTCCTTTTGAACAATTTCTTCCCATTTCACAGAGCTATTGTACATGTTGGGCCTTATTTACTCTTTCACTATATCATACCAAGAAGACAATACTATGTTTATACATGGGGGTCTGATTTACTTCACTTATGAGTATGATCTCAAGGTGCACCCATTTATCTATACAAGTCTTGAGCTTATCCTTCTTTATGGAAGGATAATATTCCACTGCACGGAAATACCACATCTTTTTAACCCATTCCGCAGTTGATGGGCATTTGAGTTGTTTCCAAGCTTTAGCTATTACAAATTGTGTTGCTATAGACATGGGTGCACATATATCTCTGTGAAAAATATCCTGAAGGAGACTATCTGGGTTGAATGAGACCTCTAACCTTAGCTTTTTGAGGAATCTCCATACTGATTTCCTCAGTGGTCACACCAGTCCGCGCTCCAACCAACAGTGAAGAAGAGTTCTTTTTTCCCCCACAGCCCCTACAGAATTGATATTGGTTGATTTCTCAGTGATGGCCATTCTTTCTGGGGTGATGGAATCTCAGTATTTTTTTAATTTGCATTTCTCAAGTGACCAATGATATTGAATATTTTTTCATCTATTTACTTTCTTTTTTTTTTTTAGTATTTCCATCTTTATTTAAGCTGTATAAATTGTTTCAGTGATGCAGTATTCCAGTAAAAGACACCGGAGCATTGTACTACTTGCTATATTGTAGAAGAGGCTTATCTTATTTTTACAAATTATGAAATATGAAAAATATAACATTGATACTAATTGCTTTATGAAATCTATAGCCCCCATGTACTTCCATTCAGCTACTTTAATGCATCTCTAAAGTTGCAGACACGAGTGGTCTTTGTTCTTTGAACACATCAGCGCACACGTATTAATCAAATGTGCTGTCTCTTTATATTTAAAGTTAAAATTACATTACCATTTTCATAAATCTTAAATGTCCAGTTCAGTTGAGTTTGAAGAATGTCTTTACCCCTCTTAGAATAAATAGCATCTCTATCATCCTAGAGTGTTGCTTCATTTCTGTTCCCAGAAAGCTTCTCCTCCCCTTCTTCCAGAGGCTACTCTTATTCTAATTATTTCAACATAGATTACTTCCCTGAAATAGGACTTCATAGAAATAGAATCCTATGTACGGGGCTGGGTAGATAGCTCGGCAATCTAAGTGCCTGCCTGGCAAGCTCCAGGACCAGAGTTCAATCCCTGGTATCATGTGCCCTGCTGGCCACAGAACCCCGGGTGCACTGTGCCACCCTGAAACTGGGCATGATAGCACACAACTGTAGGGAGGCTGAGACAGGATCATTCTGAGTTGGAGATGCGTAGTGAAACCCTGTACCAAAGACATACATATATACATGCATACATACATATCTTTTGAGTCCAGTATGCACTTTTTGCATGTAAAGAATTTTTTAGATTCTCTTTTTTTTTTGGGGGGGGGGGTTAAACCCAGAGCCTTCTCACTGAGCTGTGCACCCACCCTTTGTAGCTTTTATTTTGAGACAGGGCCTCACTAAGTATCTCGAGGTGCCCAGGGTCAGCCCATACTTATGAGCCCCTGCCTTAGCCTCCCACCATCTTGAGATTTCAGCCTTCACTGCCCTGCCTGTCTTGTAGAGCTTTTTTCATTCATGAGTGTATTTTTGAGATTTATCCTTGGTTTTGCTGTTTTTATTGGTACCTGAGATTGAGTCCATGACTTCAAATTTAGCTACCTTCCTAAACCTTTTTTTTTTTTTTTTTTT